AGCCACGTGCGTCGACATACAACCTCTCTCGAGCTGGAGAAAGAGTCCCTGAAAATATCACAGCGATTGGAGAAGGTTGCAAAAGTTTGGATTTCGGATCGACAAGCCTCACGCCTGCCGCAGTGGTGCATGGCCAAAATGTAGAAAATGTTGGAGAATGCTGGGATTATTTTCAACGGCCCACTACAAGTCGCTAGTGATGGAGAGAGGTATAACGTGCTGATTTGCGGCATCGTTGGGCACTGGGTGATTTTTCAACGAATTGATTTGAATAAAATGGCTTTTTCGATACCACGCTCTATGCGCGGAGCCAGAACGCTGGGATCATTTCAGTGGCCAAGGACAAGTCTGTCTAGAATTATAAAGGCTCGAAGCGCCATGTATTGGCTCGCGTTGAATATCTAGATGATTTATGTTGGAATAAAACAGCAATTGTTGGCGAGTTTCAAAACAAATACTTGCAAGCCTTTGATAGCCACGTGCGTCGACATACAACCTCTCTCGAGCTAGAGAAAGCGTCCCTGAAGATAGCTCAAACGACAATCTAATGCTTTCTTACAAGTTAATTGATCAGAAGGCGACTTTTGCATTACGTGAGATGCGGCGCGATGTAAACGTCGACGAGCTCGGTCGCGGTGGGGCGATCGTTTGGGTCAAATTTGAGGCAGGCCATGGCCATGTTGTAGATCCAGTCGGGGCAGCTCGCCGAGAACGTCGGTTGGATCGAGCCTTCAAGGACGCGCGCCATGATGGCCGTGTCCACCAGCGGCAAGCCCGTCGTCGGGTTGATCTTGTCGTCGTATGGAATCGCGTGCGTGTCATACTCGGAGAGCAGCATTCCTGCAATAATATCAACTTAGTATCAATCCGACATCCCGACGCGGACGTACCGAACGAGTAAATGTCGGCGGCAACTGAATACCGACCATACATGAGCACCTCGGGCGCCATCCAGCGGAACGTCCCGACACCGGCGGTCATTGTCGCCTGCACATCGACGCGGGCAACGCCAAAGTCGGTGAGCTTTGTGCCCTTCTTTGAATCCAGAAGAACGTTGCGCGACTTGAGGTCGCGGTGAATGATCGTGTTCGCATGCAAGTACACCATGCCCTTGGCAAGCGCCCACAGACTCCGGGTCTTGGCCGCCCAGTTGAACTCGATGGGCGTATGGTGGAGGAGGAACTCGCGCAAGTCGCCTTGGTCCATGTATTCGAGAATGCACTTGAGGTCGGTCGGGCGCGTCCACGACGCACCAATCATGCGCACAATGTAGGGCGAGTCGAGCCTACAAGAGTCTTTTTGAATACCGGGGCGCAAAACAGGGCTGTACCGTTGCAACAGCTGGATCTCGTCGACGAACGCTTGCGTGTCATCGGCCGAGTCGCGGTGCACAAAGCGCTTGATCGCGACCGCGTCGCCGCGGTAGTAGCCAAACCAGACGTCCGCCGACGCGCCGGAGCCGAGAATACTCTTGAGCTGCAGCGACGAGTCGTCGAGCTTGATGGGCGCGAGCTCTTCGAGACTCCGCGAGTGAATTTCTTGCATGGCGGTCGACATGGGAGCGTCCGTGTTGGTGTGGAACGCAAACGTCGAGTCGAGTATTCCGCTCTCATGGCCGTTGTTGTCGTCCGGCGTCTTGGGCGTCGGCGTCGGCGACAAGGACCGACGGCGCTTCATGAGCGCAAAGGCGACAAAGCCAATCAGCGCGACACCACCGACCGACGCACCGACGGCCAGTCCAACGTCTATAATATAACATTGGTTCGACGGCAGAGAGCCAAAACGTACCAGAGCCGCTGGCGTCGGATGACGCAGTCGCCACGGCGGATACCGGCGGCAACGCGGCGACGGTCGCGGGCGTGACGCACACCGTGTAGACCTGGCGCGTCACCTCTTGGAACTGCGGCCATAGCGGCGTGAGGGCGCCACCGACCGCCGCGCACGCCGCGGGATCCGACACGATCGTCGTGTCGTCGACGGTCGATTTAAAGTCGTTGGCGTCGCGCGCGTCCGTGTTGTTGCGCGTGAGAGTAAAGTTGGCAATCGCAGCATACGACTCTTGGCTCAAGTGCAGTTTGGTCAAGTGACAGCCCGCGAGATCGCTACGTTCGATTGCATTTGTCAAGATGGTTCCTCGCTGAATAGGATTGCTTACAGGCGGCGCAGCGTCGACGAGAGCGTGACGTTGACAAATGTAGTGAGCGCACACGCGTCCTTGAATCCTTTTGGCACCCCGAGACGCCTACGACAGCGCGTCATGAGCCTCCAATGCTGTTGAAAATGCGATAAATCTGCGCACAAGTGGGCGAGTTTGGACCAATCCAAATCGACGAGCTGCGTCAGCGCCGGGGAAAAGACACTCCTACAACGACCATCAGTGGTGTGCCACGGGGTATATTGTCATCTCGTACACGTGCTGGAGGTTGTCCAGCTGCGGAGGCAATGCCGTAAAGTTGAGATCGAGCACGCGCCTTCACACGGTCGCCATGAGACATCAAACCACACGCGTCCAAGTCCTTACAAGTGCGTAATGGACGCCGGCAAGTTGGCAGGCCACTGCGTCCAGCCCGATTTTTCGATCCATCTACACATTCGAGTCTATCTCGCAGTCGAGACTGTACTAGAACGTACAGCTTTTTGAGCGCGATGGGCCACGTAAAGGTCGCTCCTGGCGGAAACGACGCATACTGCAACGTCCTACGCAGCGCACGCATGAGCCATCGTCAGTTGATAGAGACAGTATGTTGACGCACAGCTCGGCGAGCTCTTGGGGCAGCACCATCTTGGCGGTCGACACGAGCTCGCTGTGCCGCACGACCCTATGGCGAGATGAGATGCACCGCCTGGGATGACTGCTTCGTACAAGCGCATGTCGTTGGTGGCGCGGGCAGAGGCGCGAATGTCGCCGATGGCGGTCACGCGGTCGGCGCACGGCACGCGCGTGTTGGCACCCGACGATTCCCACGGGTTCGGGCAGTCGGACGAGAGCGACGCTTCGGTGACAGCGCAAGTGCTGTCGAGGAGGCAGTAGGACGACGCGCTGCTGCAGTACGGCGAACCAAAGGCAAAGATCTTGGTGGATGCAATCTCGCTATACGGACATGGGCTCTGCGCGACGGCAGCCGCGATGGCCGACGCAGCGATGGTGGCGAGAGCGAACATGATACCGACTGCGCATCGGTTGGGTGCACTTGCGACGGCGGTGGACGCTGGGTGGACTTCGAACTTCGGATTGTTACGTGCGCCAAGATGGCCATGCACACGTGCACTTTCGATGCTTTGCACAGCGCTGAGAGCTGAGGTGAGCGCCTATTTGTGCGCAGAAAGAGTGGGCGAAGCTGCCTACACGCTGACCTCTCTCTAGCGACGTCACGCAACTCCTTGAAGCAAGGCCGCGGTCGACACAGAATAGGATTGTTCCAGCACACTCCTGTGCACGCGCTCGGCGTCGATGACGCGTTCTTTCTCAAGTTATGGAATCTAGTTCATGCAGCTGATGCATTCAAGCGTGTACAGGAATGCATCGTATCGAGTATACCGTCGTCCTCCTAGAAGCTCTGCAAGCGTTGTGTGCTCCACTGTCCGCTAGCTGGCTGCATCGCCGATGGTACGGCGCCTCCGCGTATAGTACTATCGTGCGAGCGTAGTAGGATCGTCATGTTAGAAAGCTGCGTGGACAGCGCCTTGCTGGATCTAAGTCGCCACTTGCAAAGCACTTCAACGTCTCTCTTGACGGATCCTGAACCAGAGTTCGCACCCGCGGCCTGTCTATGCTTCGAACTTCGATCGCAGTGTTTTTTATTACAGCTTGGGATTTGTATGCAAAGAAACACGTTTCCAACACCAGGTGGCAGCACGCCACGCATGTCCCGAGACTACTCGATCGACACGATGGCCGTCACGTGCCCCGTGGCCGGCGCCGCTGTCTTGAACTTTGACCACGCGCGCTGCCCAATGTCGTACAGCTTGTGCACGATTGACGATGCGTCCGGCAAGGCCACCGAGGTCAAGGGCAGCACCGTGGCTGGCATCGACGCCATTGGCAACATCTCGACCGCGGGCATCGATGGCCTGTACGCCGCCTTGTCCACGCTGCCACCTCGGCTCATGCAACGACGCGACGTGTAGGTCGGTCACCGACTCGACGCTGCACGCCATGGAGTGCGCGATGTACCCGAATCAAATGCTCACGAGCTTGTACGTATTTAACGCCCAAGCGACCAAGCGATTATCGAGCTGTTTGTACTAGGCAGTTTACCCGCGTCAACTTTACGGCGTCCCAGAACGAGTGGGCCTGGCCGCGCATGCTGCAGACGCTGTACGCTCTCGCTTCGCGTCGTCGACTGATTGCGCTCCATGTAGGCAGTTGACGTCGACCAACTTGGTGCAGCTGCCAGGCAATCTGCCATCCACCATCACGACCCTGTAGGCTGACTTGATATCTCGATGCATATCTCATGGTGCTGCACAAACTAGAGCGGTCGTCGACTCACCATTGACGTCACTGCCATCCCATTTGCTACCAAGCCTCAATGACGTGTACATGACGGAGTGGTTTTGAAAGCGTGCCTGAAGTATATGCAATGCTAGGGGACTACGCAACACGCAGCTGCAGAGTCTTCAGGACCAGCCGTGGTCGGCCGTCACCCGCTTGTACGAACTCATCTCTTTGAGATGCGCTGACCATGCTGCAGGTCTCTGGAAGGCAACATGCAGCTCAGCTCGTGGTCGAACGTCACTCTCTCGTCCAACCTGCTTTTTCTGTGCGACCCACACCAAACATCGCTGGGCTCTTACAGTAGCGCTGTAGGTCGCTCAAAAATCTCCAGCTGCGATCGTTCAACATTGATGAAGCCACGTTTGCAGTCCTCAACGGCCTCACGAGCAATGGTCGCCTACTAGTGCTCGAGAAAACAGTCATTACACTCGACTCGGGCGCGTGCCAAGCCAGCGGCGGCGTCGTTTCTCCGCTCTGGACGTCTCGGGGCTCGTACTCGGCCTGCGTCCGCCGCCCAGCGATCCCAGAGACGCCTGCTACCGACGGTACGGGACTCCACTTGCGTATCCAATATCGACTTGTTTCGTTGTCTAGACCTTTCAACATCGGTGGTTGTCAGGCTTGTCATCGGTGGCATCCTGCTGTGTGTTGCCAGCGTCGTTGCGGTTGTGTGGATCGTGCGTCGCCGGCGTCGTCCACCGGCGCCACCGACGGTGACAGGATCGAGCCTTGCCGCCGATATGGCGCGTCCTCTCCAGTCCGATCGTGCACCGACGACAAAGCCCACGATGGCCGAGACCGATGGCTACCGAACGCTCGCGCTTCTCAACCGTCTGCGTCTGGACGCTTCAAGTCTTGTGCGCGGCCGGCTCCTTGGCGCCGGTGCCCACGCCCACGTCTACCATGGCATGTACAACGCAACGCCCGTCGCCATCAAGACACTTATGACCAACCGCAAGCACGAGATCGACCGCGTCATCGCCGAGATTGAGCTTCTGGCCACGTGCGTTGTGCTTCCTTTTCGCCAAGTCACGTCATCATGTGACGACATAGGCTCGATTCGCCCTACATTGTGGGTCTCGTGGGAGCCGCGTGGGCCGGCCGGCTCGCGAACCTCGAAATCGTGCTCGAGTACATGGACGGCGGCGACTTGTTTACGTACTTGCGCAGTCATGACGCGACGACATATTCGTGGAATGCCAAGCGGACGACGCTGCTTTGCGTGGTGCGAGGGCTTCTGTACCTGCACGAGCGCAGCGTCATTCACCGCGACGTCAAGGCGCGCAATGTGCTCTTGGACAACGAGAAGGGCACCAAGCTCACCGACTTTGGCGTCTCCCGGGTTGACACGTTGGCCACCATGACGATTGGCGTCTCCCGGGTTGACACGTTGGCCACCATGACGATTGGCGTCGGCACGTACCGGTGGATGGCGCCGGAAGTGCTCCAAGACAACCGGTACTCGGTCGCTGCCGATGTCTATTCGTTTGGTACGACGATATGATTGTTTTTGGTGATACAGTATGGACATGGTTTGTCCAACTTAGGTATTTTGCTCTCGGAAGTCGACACGCATGCCATTCCGTACATGGATATGATCCAACCCGAGACGGGGAATCCGTTGATGGACACGGCCATTTTGGCACAAGTCGTGCAGGGCCGACTTCGACCGACACTGTCGCCAACGTGCCCAACTGATATCGCCGCGCTCGCTTATCGCTGCTTGGCGTTCGACCCGATGGAGCGACCGACGGCGGCGGACGTGCTTGCGGCGCTGCATGCTGCGACGCTACCTTCTTCAGATTAAACCGCGCAAGGTCGGCATGCTTTTGTGTTTTGTATTGTTCTTGCAGAACTTGGAGATCTCAAGCATGTTTTGGCATCGACTGGATTTTTATCACACTGCATTTGGCTACACTACTTGATTTTACTATGCATTTTAAAACATAAGTACCTTTTTTCATTGGATAATTATTCAATTCTTTTCAACCAATCCCAGATCTTTCGACTCGCCCGGCGCACTCGCTTGCGTTCTCAGAGCGCGAGGTCGACCAAATCGCGTTCGGAAATGAATTCGCTGAAACTTGGCACAGCGATAGAGTACACTCTGGAGAGTTCGAAATGCTATGTGTTGTCGGCGTTCGAGACCTACAGCTTGCAAAATCGATGCAACTGTTAAATGTGGCATGTGCCACACTTTGCCACGTATGACCACATTTACGGCACGTGCCGCAACTCTTCGGTAATTTCGGCACTTGTATCCGGACATGCCGAATTTACCGTCCACGGTCCACATTTCGGAGATCATGGGCTCGCCGACGACTGCTGTGTGCACGCCCGCCGAGGTCCGGACGTCTTGCGCCGCCGTCACGGCTGCCGCCAAGCACGTCAAGGTCCTCGACGAGAAGATCGCCACGTTTGCCTCGACGATCGACATGGCGCAGTTCGCCGAGCTCTCGGGGGCCGTGCGCTACCCGCTGTCCTTCAAGTCCATCTCGGACGAGCTCAACTTTATGGGTACGCCAGCCCCATATGAGGCGCTAGCACCACTTCATGGAGACATGGCTAGGCCTCGTCAACGTCCTCAACTTTGGCAGCGGCTACCGCAAGCCTCTGCACGACATTACGACTCGCGTACGTGCGCCATGGTCTTGTTCGATGGCTGACCATGCTGCATGCTTCTAGGGTGCCCACGAGACGATGGTAGAAACCTTCTCCATAGACGACGATGGCAGCATGTGCTAACGAGCCAGGATATATGTAGACGTTTGGCGCGATCGGGCTCTTCATCTCGGAGCCGCGCCTCGACGCCAAGTTCCTCCGCGGCCTCTCGCTCGAGAGCGTGGCCTCGTACTTTTCGCTGCCGACCGAGCGTGACGAACAGCTCTCGCCGGGCATCTACATCGCCAAGCCGGGTCCGCTCAAGCCGTTGGCCGAGAGCATCCGCAAGGTACAATCACATTGCTACCATGCCTTACGATCGCCTCGTCGCGCGTAGGTCTTGAACGACACAGGTCGCATCCTTCTCGAGCTCGGATTCGCCGACTTTGGTGCATTTCTGCTCGCGCATTTGCAAAAGGGTAGCTCGGCGTCGCAGCTCGTTGAGCTGCTAGCGACGACGTTCCCAGCCTTCCACGACGTGAGCCCTGACGGCAGCGTCGTCGTGCTCAAGAAGGCCCAGTGCTTTGTCGCAAGCCTCTACCGCCGCTTTCAAGTACATTCTCTTTTGCCGACCGACGCGAGATGGGCTTGTAGGAAGAAGATCCGATGTTTCGCTTTGAGGACATTGCGAGCTTGACCGCGTTCAGCGACAATGTGCTGCCGTGTGTGCTGCATGCCATGGGCATCCTCGAGGTACGACCATGACAATGCGGTGAGCGAGAGTGATGCTATGTATCGCATCGGCTAGTACTCGCCGGAGCTCGATGACATGATTGAAAAGGGCACGCTGCTGCCCCACGGTATGTCTGGCGATGCAATAAGACACTATGAACTGAGTGTGAACTAGGTGGCGTTGAGACTGAGCTCCGTGCGGCCGCGGTTGTTGCCTGCGAGAAGATTGTGGCGGCGACCGGCCTCGAAATGATTGCGCTCGACTCGTTCCTCTGGCGTCTTGGTACGATACGTGCTCTCTGGATGAACGAAACGACGATCATCTCGTAGGCAAGGAGCCGGCGTACCGCATCAAGCCGCGCCATGCGACCCAAGACACAGTCTACTACTAACGAGATGTCTCGCCTCGACTCGACAATAGGTTTTCAAATTCTGTTTCTTTGGCTCGTAAGACGGTCTCAAGAAGGCTCTCGAAGTGCGTCAAGACCAAGATGGTGTCGTTGGTGCGTGTTGGTCGTGGGCGCCACTGTGTGGCCACCGGTAGCGTCCATCTCAGCAGAGTCATCGCGTAGTACGACCCATGGAGGAAGCACAAAATGGGACGCGACGGAGTGTGAACCTCCAGCGCAGCCACGCCACACGTGCTCGATCGCTGAGGTCACACGAATTCGCACATGCCATCGGCTTTCGGGTCGGTTGCCGGTGCGCTACACCCGAAGAAACGACACAGAGATTGAAGCAGCACTAAGTTACGAAGGAAGTTGAGCGTGAGCAGGAAGTTGAGCGTGAGCAGAACCGGAGAATGGTGTCGACAGTAACTATGAATCGACACGATATAAGAATACGATCTGAGTGTACAAATTTGTCATTCCATGCGAAGAGCTGTGGTCGTCGAACTCGAGGATTTCTTCTGGCGTCGCGCCGGCGCCACAAGAATGCACCTTGAAGTTCTTTTGACCTAAATACTGTTTAAATACACTATATCACGAACGACGGCTCGCATCGGCGCGCGGATGGATTATTAACGGGCAAGTCCAGCACCTGCGTTAGTAGCTGTGGTGCACATGCGCTCTGATGACCATCCACTCGGATTCTGGTGCGTCCCGACAGACAACGCGTGCACGCCGCTACCGTTCTGATATATCACTATATATGTTTTTACACTATTTGACGTGAAAGATCCGTGTCATCGTGGAGCCAGCGACTCGACAAATCACCAGCATGGCCGACCGTGGCCAGCTCCAGCATGCGCGGACCATCTTGATCAAGGTCGGTACCGAGGTCGTCAACTCGCCCGACGGGCTCCTCGCGCTCGGCAAGATGGGCTCGATCGTCGAGCAGATCGCGCGACTCCACATGCAGGGCAAGCACATCATCCTCGTTTCGAGCGGCGCCGTCGCCATCGGCAAGATGGTGCTGCGCCGCCAGCACATGCTCTCGGGGTCCATGCAGGTGACGCCACTATGGCTATCACGAGCGTCTTGGGCTCATCTTTCTTTGTCTGGTGTAGGCGCACCTCAAGGGCCGCCTCGGTACCGCCGCCGCCCTCAACCCCAAGGCCTGCGCCGCCGCCGGTACAACGTTCTCGCTGGCGCGTAGGGCTTGTCGACGACGCTGCGATATATAGGCCAGAGCGGAATGCAGTCGCTTTACGAAGTGCTCTTCTCGCAGTACCATCTCGCTTGCTCGCAGATTCTGACGTCCGACACGGACTTCCGCGTGCCCCAGGTACGCCATCGTTCTTGCATGGGGCCGGTTGCTCATGCACTGTAGATTCGAGCCAATGTCAAGGACACCATTCTCGCGCTGCTCAAAGTGGGCATCATCCCCGTCGTCAACGAGAATGACGTTGTCTCGCAGCGCCAAGTGCCACTCACCGACGCCGACGTACTACCTACCTCCTATATCTATATTGGCGTGGAAACGATGTACAATATTGTCTTATAGGAGCGGATCGCATGGGACAACGACTCGCTCGCGTCCCTCGTCGCGCAGGAAGTCGGCGTCGACTGCATGATTGTCCTCACCGACACGGTCGGCCTTTACGGTACGTTCTTTGAATGGTATTTCTCAAATGCAATCTCAATCTCAACTGGTGCAGACCCGTCGACCAAGGCGCTCGTGCACGAGTATGCGTCCAAGCAGCCGTGGATGTTTGCGCCGAGCTCGCGCGTCGGACCGCTCGGACAGCAAGACAAGGTCCTCGCATGCGTCACGGCCGTCAACTCGGGCCTGGTCCAGGTAGCCTTTTTTCTACTATTTCTAGGCGAAATTCAAAGATTGGGTTTTGGTGTAGGCTGCAGTCCTGGCGCCAGCAGCGCCCGGCAGCATCGTGGATGTCGTTGACGGCAAGACGATCGGTACGCTCTTCAGCACGTCGCCCGGCGCGCTCCTCGAGCTGGACATGGGTTTGAGCAAGCTGTAGCTACTCTTTGTCTTTGACACAGCTCTCACGTGCGACTTTGAAAGACAT